GTTAGTAGGTGCAGTAGGTTGGAGGCCATCGCCAGTAGGTTGCAGGCCATCGCCAGCTGGTTGGAGGCCATCGCTAGTAGGTTTAATGGTTTGGAGGCCATCGCCAGTAGGTTGGAGACCATCGCTAGTAGGTTTAGTAGGTTGGAGGCCACCAGAAGGTTGGAGGCCATCGCTAGTAGTAGGTTGGAGGCCAAATGCCATCGCTCTTAGGATGGAGACCATTGCTTCCCTGGGGTTTGAGGTCGAAAGCTTCAGAATAAACCCTGCCTGATTGATGTGCTTCCTTGGCATTTCATTGTTTTCTTTAAGGGCTCTTTTCTCTTCCTTTCTTGCTGTTCTTTTGTCGTTTCACACGTTTCCGTTTGCGCATGTTCCAATCCTTGGGGAAGGCAGGACCATCAAACTGCACAAAGTCCACTTCAAGTCGACCCTCCTCAAGGCAGACACCAAAGGGTCCGACAAAACAATTATTATTTAAATTAATAGCAAACATTGTTACTACTAGTAAGGCACCTGTTACTACTAGCGTGGCACTTGTTACTAGTAGCTTCTGGTTGTTACCCCGCGCCCACTTAATTAAGAGCTTCGCTTCTAGGTAGGACGCATGGTATCTCTCGCTTCTTCAAGGAAGCTCCCCCGCCTGAGGGCGGGCAAAGGTTCCTTGAAGAAGCGCTCGCACGAATGATTTGGTTCCTAGATTTTTTGGGAAACTCAAGTAAAGTGGATTAAGGTCACACAGTCCAAAGAATCTCACTTTTGATGTTTTGCATGCGGCATTGAATGCCTTAGAGTACAGGGTCCTCTATCGCGTCCAGCAGCAAAGAGGTAATCACAACCGGATCCTTCCAAGGCACAGAATATTGGGCAAATCGCCTCAAGGTGAATACGCCTTGAAAGAACTGTTTGCTGAAACATGTTAAATGTTCGAACATCACTTCTTTCCCTCTGTCACTCCTTCGCAAAGTTGCACAAGTAAATGAGGTTGGTTCCTTGCAGGTAAGCCAAGCAAAAGAAAAACGGAGGCTTGATTGAAAAAGGAAAAACTACTAGTAGTAACAAGGACGCTATTAGGTGGAGGCTTTTAGAGATAGAGGCGCCTGGCCTAGTCGGCCAATGGCCTCTCCCTGAAGCGGGGCAGTCTGGTCGCACATGCGCACATGAAGCTGGACCTGACATGACACTGCACTTCTCGACCTTCAAAAAAGAACTGGGAGAATGTGTTTAGTTTCATATTGCTATTTATTAAACATTAACCCGCTCCTACTTAATCAAGTAGGCGCCTACTTCATGAAGTAAGGGGCCGACTTAATCAAGTAAGGGAGCAAGCCCAGGGCGACTACTGTAGTTAGCTTCTAGTAACTGGACACAGGATGGCTAACGCTTCTAATGATGTAGCTCCTAAAACTGCGAGAATGTTCTTGACCACCCAGAACCTCACCTTGCTCCTTGAAGGCCTCAGGTGGCTTTGGCAGCCTTTTCTGAGCCTTTTTGAAATATACCGTGCACAAAGGCTCTCCAAAACATGCCGCGGTCTGCCGTGCTGGGAGATGCTTTTGCCTGGCGTCGGGGTGACTATCACGAAGAAAGGAATTGAGCATTTTGCAATCCTGTTCATTACACAAGCTTTGAAATATGCATTTCTTCTGTTAATGCATCGTCAGCATCATGATCTTGTCTACAAGCTCATGGTGAAGGCATCTTCTTTCCGCTCAGCTCACTCCTGCCTCATGCTGAAAGTTAATACCCACCCAGCCCTCGCACTCACGATCAGAGTTGTAGGCCTACAAAGCCACATCCATCAGAACAGTAAGAACAAACTCAGCTTTGTGATCTGCTACCTACTCCTAATTGCTGCTTCCTACTCCCACTCCTACTCCTGCTACTAGTCTGGGCCTTGGCCGCCAGCGTGGTTGCTAGCGCAAAGAAGCGAGTCTCTGCGTTTTTCGCTGAACGGATGCTCGCCTACGCATGAAGCTGAAAGACAAAAAATAAGCCACAAGCCCACTTTTGAAGGAAGGCTGAATCGGAAAAGGAAAGAAGAGAAAGGTCTAAAGGTCCAAAGAAAAAAAAGCATGCGAAAAAGAATTGGGAATTGTGAAGAAACGTAAGAATGGAACCGTAAGTACAAGTTGGGTCATTCCAGGCGGGCCTAGGAGCGGACAGATTTGAAAAAAATCACTTTTGGGGTAAGGACAATTAAAGTGATAACTACATAATACAATAGTATACGTGATATAGTTGTTTCTTGCTTTGTTTGGCTTCTTTTTAACCTTTCTTTCTTTCCTTGTCTTTACTTGTTGTTTTTCTCTTCTTTATGTTCTCTCAAAATAACGAAACGCCTGCAGACAGAAATGGATCCCTTTTTGGGGGGCCAGTAGTTGCAAAGAGCATCTTGTAACTATGGAGGTCTGCCTGTCTTGTGCGGCGAACCTCCAAAGTATCATACTCCTTTGTCAACATCTGCATTAAGCGCTCCTGCAAAGCGTTGTCGCAGGCGATCGCCGGTCCCGGCCGGTCTGCGTCCAGTCCGATCCTGGGTCACATACCGTTTTGCTTCTCCATACTCGACGTCAGAGATCCGCATGTCATAAGCTGACAAAGAGCGCGCAACCTTGGTTTTGTGTGGAAAAATGATAACGAGAAGACTTCGTGGTCAGCTTTCAACATGAGAAGTCTTTGCAGTCGAAGAGACAGTTCCAGCAGCTGCTCCCGCTGTCAAAAAGGTTCGGGAGACCTGCATACATGCAACGGCTCAAACCTCTTCATGGCACAGTGGAGTCACGGAACCTCCTGGCCAGCTCCAATCTCTGCAAAGCTTCCATAGATGGTTGGATCCAAGTTCACTTGAAGAGCCTGTCAAAAAATGTCAAGGCATTCGCTTGATTCACTTGATCTCCCATCACAATTCCTTGACCCAGCCTTGTCAAAAGAGCTTGATCCCAAGTCCTCCGTGGGAGGGAGCTTTCTGTGCAATACATGTTTGAACTTGCTCATCCTCAGAAAGTCCTTCAGTTCAATCAATTCTTTCCAGTTGCTGGTGGTGCCAGACTTTTTGCCCTGGCACAAACAGATGCCTTTCCGGCACGCCCGGCACGTGGCTGAAGAGTTCTTTCATGTTCTCCTTGCAACAACTTGCAACTCTCATCTTTCAGGCCTCCTTGTCGTCGAGCCATGGGAGCACATTCGAAAGAAACTTTCCGAAGGCCTGAACCAAATGAAAAGCCTTCTCTCAACTGCGTTAGGCCGCTAGAAAAGGGTGCAGGGTAGGCTTAGGTAAGCCGAGCTAAGTCGGTGAAGCAGCAGGACTTGGAATCAAGGACACAAAAGAACAGCTCCTAGATTTTGACAGAAGTTCAAGACACGAGTAAGTCTTGCTTTTAGTCTGACGCGGGAAAAGTCTAGTCTTGATTGATTGGTTTGCGACAGACCTGATCTTTTAAGGTCAAACAGACTATGAACCCAAGATACCAACACAGGTTGAAGAAGCCTATAGACCAGCCCATAGGTACCCTAGGTACTACCCTAGTAGGGTCCTACAAGGTCACTTAACCTCTCTTGGTCGCGAAGCGTTCTGGGCCACTGGTCGAACCCATCGAACCCTTCACGTGCCGAGGCCATTTGATCCCCAGGTATATGGGCAGCGTTTTCGCGTCCAGTCCCCGCGTCGACCGGGGCCGAAGTGGAGCAAGGTGAAGGTGGAGACCGTTGTTGAGGCAGTTCTTAGGTCCTAGGTGTTCATTCCAATCACTTTACGAACTGCACTTTTATTACGCAGTTGTTGTGCAAACCAACTCAGTTTGCACTGTTTTTTTTCAGATGTTCATGTCTTTTCGCCCGCCCTTTTTGCCGCAACATGTGAGTCATGGGTGGGAAGTGAAATGAAGACATGATGTCCAGGTTGCATTGGGCTTGTACAAGAGACTTATAATAACATTAATACATGTATTCAACATCTTCAAGGCTTGAAAGAGGAAAGCGTAGAAAGCGGCACCAGCCTGGCGAGAAGCTCTAGGTCGCCGTGGGCGCTTACGGTGAAGAGCCAGCGCCCCTCCAAAGCATTTACTTTGCCGATCGCTCAACAGGTCACTAGCCCGTGCCAATTGGAAGGGTCGCAACAAAACAAAAAAAGAATGAATTCATTCGTTTTAGATCTTTTTAGCCCGTGGGGGGGGGTTGGCCGCTAGGAGGGAGAGGTACCTAGTAGCTTAAGTAGCTACTACTTAGGACGCAGGATAGCTCGCGCTGTTTCACTCCCCCCGCCGCCCTCAAGGCGGCGGGGGAAGCTTCCTTGAAGAAGCGCTCGCACTAATGATTTGGTTTCTAGATTTTTTGGGAAACTAAATGCAGGAAAAAAAAGAAGATCAGCACTTCTAGCGAGGTCGTCTTGGAGAAGTCTTCGACTAACAAGAACGTTTTCTAACGTAATGTCTGACTTAGACTTATACTTATATACTAGGATTGCTATTGGGTTCTAGACCTGAAATGTCGAGCACGTCAAACACTCCTTACTTCCTAACTACAGTAAGTCTATAGTATAGTATAGTCTTTCAAACTTCTTACAACTCTTCTTCCCACCTCCAATCACAGCACCAGCACCAGCAGCACTGCGGTGTAGCCCTCGAGGCCCAGTTGTCTCCGCCTCAAACCACATCCTTCTGAACAGTTTGGAACAGTCTGGACTTGTGCGAGTGAACTCAGAAAGCCTGTCTGGAACATCTGGAACCTTTCTCCCACTTGCTGTACGAATTTGTTGAGTGCAGCGGCAACACTTAACAATACCTTCAAGTAAAAGAAACAGTCATACCTTGTCGTGCCTCCAGCTGGAGTCTCTGTGGACTGCCCTGCTTGCTCCCTGCAAAGTTTGACGAATCGACGAAAAGGGGAACCTTCGGGAACCCCACAGCCTCTTTGCTACTAGTAGCTTCTTGTTCCTAGTAGCGATGCCAGGAGCCCCTAGTAGCGTCCTGGCTCCTAGTAGTGATGCCCTTTGCTCCTAGTAGCTTCTTCTGGCCTGATGGCCCAGGTCTAACCGATGGCAAGCCAGGTCTTGTCGTCACAAATGCAACCTGTGACGATCGCAACTGATCGGATGATCAACGATCGCAACTGTGTCGCATCTAGCCTCGGACATCGTTCACCTTAGACATCCGCCCCACAGTTTCTCGGATTTTAGCCACGACATGTTGAGTTGAATTTGACTCATTTCGGGTGTCCACACAGGCCAGTGGGCTCTGAATCGACTGAGCCACACGGCTGCAGAGCTGTGAGTAAAGCCGAACAAGAAAATGAAAACTTGAAGGCTTGAAGGTCCTTCTGCCAGCCTAGGTATCCCCACAAGTTCAACTTTTCTTGATGGCAAACGCATTAAGCTTATTCCATCCTATTCCCGTATCTCGTCAGTTCAGGTCAATGGCTGAATTGGACACCCTCCGCTTTGTCTGCCTGCCCGTTTGCATCCACCAGAACGTGCGAAGGTCCAAAGTCAACGAAGACGTTGCCAAAAACGCCACCGGTTCGCACGTAGAGGAACTCAGACCGTTGTCATTGTCAAGGGAAGGATCAACAAAAACGAAACCAATACCTACCTCTCCCAAGCCTTACAAGCTCTGTATCCCATGAGAACCCAACTGCCACGGGCTTTGGGAGCAAAGTCCGACAATATGCGTTCCACCTGCGTGCTTGAGATTGAGGGTAGTCAGCGGCAGTACATCACAATTTACTTTTCAACAAAGCATGCCGGCAGGGCTTAAGCAACTCTGTCAAAGGCATGCTCTCACAAATGAGCAACACGGTGTGTTGTTGCACCACCTGTGGGAAACTATGCTTTAAAAAAACTCGAGACGAAAGTCGGATGTCATAAAATGAGTAAAAACTTGTTAATTCACAGCGTGACAGACTTGGTGCAAAGGGCCTCTGCGGTGAGTGCGTCTGCAATGCAAACGTCACAGAAGGGGTTCAGTTCCTGCACATGGCCACTAGGCAAGAAGCTAGTAACAAGTGCCACGCTAGTAGTAACAGGTGCCTTACTAGTAGTAACAATGTTCGCTAGTAATTACAATTCTAATTAAATTCTTATTGTTACTGCTAGTAAGGCACTTGTTACTAGAAGCGATGCACTTGTTACTGCAAGCGAAGCAGGCCCTACCGCTACCAGCTTGGCCAACTTGGCCAACCCCGATCCTTGCTGGGCCCCACAGGCCCTACCGCTAGAAGCTTTCTTTCTTGCCTGGAACTTGGGCACGAGTAAGGCAGCCAGCGGCTTCCCAACATCTGCCTGCGCTTGCATGCTCTGAGTTCAAAAAGCTTGGAATTCCTCTCCTATTTTCCTAAATTCTATGCTCAGGTTGTTCCTTAATCTTTTCTAATCTATTCTAAAGCCGCACACTGCGCCGCTGCGCCTCTGATAAAAAGAAGTTCGTGCCCAAATCCTCTTTGCAAGAAAGGCACTCTGTGCATCTCTTTCGGTTCGTGCCAAAGACTGATTTTCCAAAACGAAGTCTCCTGGATCTTTGCAGGTTTTGGGTCAACCAGGGTCACCTGGCCGCTCTGAAAGGATAGGTTGCAAGGTGGGCCATGCACAAACCGGTGAGGGGAGGGAAAGGAGCAATGATAAGCAACGTCGATGTAGCTAATAAGAAACAAGGTTTCTGTCTCTGAACCCGCATGGTGGAACGGGCGGTCTCTGAGAATCCCACAGCACCGAGCCCTTGAAGCACCAGGTTCTTCACAATCTGGCACGACGGAGTGACGGTGCGACAAATACTGTAACAAATAGGAAACCTAATAGCAAAAGGATGCAAAAGGAACCTAATAGGGATGGCCTCCAACCTAGCGATGGTAGCGATGGCATCCAACATAACAAATAGGAAGCAAGCGTGCACTTCTCGGAGCTCATCGGAGTTTCTGCGACTGGGCACTATTCTCGGAGGCGAATGTCAAGAGCCAAAGGACATTCGTTAGAGGCAAAAGCGTCAGATTTATTGCGTGACGTCTGAGACTTTGCCCTCAAAATCGCACATGAAACCCCAGCCTCGACAGCAACCCCGCTGCAACCAACAACTAAAGCTCTCATCTTGGTCATCTTCAGGGTGACCTCGCGAGAGTCGTGTCGATGTGTCACACTCCGCACTAAAGGCACTTGGCCTCGGCACCAAAGGCAGCATTTTGCCGCGAAAACTTGTTGAGAAAGGCTTCATCACCTGTGCAGAAGCAAAACCTCCATAATTAGTCGCATTCATACCCAGTGGAACATGAGACACGTCGTCCGAGCTTTGCCTATCACATGGTCATGTCTTGTATCCAGCCTTGGGCTCCTTCCATTAGCGGGTCGCCTGCAAGGCACATGTTGGGCTGCCAGTGATTAAAACCTAGAAATGCAAACATGATTGCTTGCAAACATGAAATACCAAACCACAGATTGGTCACAAACAGGCCTCTCTCGTCAGAGCCAGTGCCTCAGTCGAGTCAACAACCGCTCCACCCAGCAACTGCTGTTGCGGACAAAGCTGAGGTAATCTCTGTGGCAAGCGAAGGCACAAGCAGGGCAGACCTGTTCAATACGGACTGGACAATCGAAACGTTTGGGCTAAGCTTCCCTCAACAAAGCCCGAAGCAAGGGAGGTAGAAAGGAGCAAAACAATGTCTTACTTACCAAAGAAGGTTGAAAAAATGAACAAATTGATTGTTGTCCACTCGATGTCCACTCCGTGTCCACTCCGTCCAGCTAATTTGCCAGCTTCACAGAGCCCATGCAGCGCTCGTCTCTCGGCCAAGACGCCGAGACCCCTTTCGGCCCGCTCGACCCTCCAAAGCTACGGTTGGAATGCTCCCATCCTTCGTTTCTGGCGGCAGCGGAAAAGCAAGAGAAAAAAAAACAAAGAGCGTAACAAAGTGCAACGAATGAAAGGGCAGCTTCCTGATCCAACGGCAATGTGTCAAGCTTGAAACTAACCAATCCTAGCTAGTTCCTGGCACCTTTGCCGGTGGACTAATGTCGGCATCCAGGATGTTGCAAGCCACCTCAAAGAAATGACTCAACAAGCATGCGGACTCCTAAAATAGCGGAGACTCTCTTGCTTCGACTCTTACTCAAAAGGCACTTGTTGTTTGATTCAAATGTCCAAAATCGAAAAGGAACCTACTAATAGCAAAGGCCTCCAACCTACTAGCGATGGCCTCCACCTAAGAGCGAAAAAGAAAAGGAACATTGTTTCTGCTAGGCCGGTCGAGCGCCTCCACACCGTGGTCATGGGGAAGTGCCATGGTCTCCACACATCTCAATCCACCACCCCTCTCGCTGACGCTCTTGGCCTCAGAATCAAAGACCTTCAAAAAGAGGCTTGAACATGCTTGAACCTCGAAAATTGAAGTCGTTCTCTCTGAGCTTTCCCTTTCGTCCCTTTCGTCTTTCTGCTCTCCTTCAGATCGTGTTCAGGACCTCAGACCTATTAAAAGTAGCCCTTCTCTGTCCTTTTTCGGAAGAAGCTGTTCAACTGGTAAGAAGATCCGAGTTGACTAGGAACGCAAAGAACCCCGGGCGTCTGGAAAGAATTGCCACAAAGTACCAGGCTAAAGTGCTTGAGGCAAATAAAATGCTCAGGGACCAAGCAATCCGTCGGCACCGAGCCATGAGTTCAGCCTGGCCAAGCGGAATTTGCACCAGAAGCATGCAGCATTTGACAGGTTTCATGGGTGTCACCTGGCCCAGGTCAGCGGCAACAAGCAGATTGTAGTTATGCACCTCGAAGGCTTCGACGTGTTGACATAACAACTGGATCAAGTAATGCGTCAATCATGTGCAAGAATGACAAGAATGTCGGATATTGGTGAAAGCAGGTGCAATAAGCATGACATAGCACAGAAAGCAGTTCACCATTACACATGAGACATGTCGTTAGCGTCAATGTTCAGAGGGAATAGGCTTGCAGGCAAATCCACACCAACAAGGGCATCGCTTCTAGTAACCAGGGCATTACCACTAGTAGCTAGAAGCTACTATTAATAAGGCGCGGCATCACTGGTTACTAGTAGTAATGCCCTTGTTCCTAGTAGCAAGGCACCTTGTGACTAGTAGCTTCTAGCTACTAGTAGTAAGGCCCCTAGTAGCGTCCTTGCTCCTAGTAGTAAGGCCAGGAGCCCCTAGTAGCGTCCTTGCTCCTAGTAGCTTCTAGCTACTGCCTTTGAATGATTTGGTGGTGAGATCGCTGCTTCGCTCACGAGGCAGGGATTGCAAATCAACACCGAGCCGTGCTACTAGGGTGGAGGCCATCGCTACGAGGCTGGAGGCCATCGCTCCTAGGGTGGAGGCCATCGCTACTAGGGTGGAGGCCATCGCTACTACGGC